CACGTAAAATGCCGCTAGTTTTTCGCCTAAAATGGGGTGACCTTTCCGGTGGTTTTTTTGCGAAATGTTTTCACTTCACTTCATACCACAGATATCACGTTTTCCACATGGAGTACTACGCTACTTCACATAAAATGGGTGAAACTCCAGTGTAATCAATCCGATGACTAGCAGTTAGAGAATTCGATCGCCAAAGTGAAGCACGGGCCCAACTCACTTCGTATCGTATTAAGAGTGGCGCTTTCAAAATGATGACCATCGGATCCAGAATAGGTTCTTTATTGATCATTCCCATCATGGCTGCTAATGGGTGATTATTCTCCTCTTTCTCCAAGATAAGCAAATTGGTATGTCGGGCCAAGACCGCCACTGCTGCTACGCTGTTTGATTCGACTGCCATATGTAACGGGGATAACCGTTCACTTGTCATACGCTGAAATCACGATCTTGCTAATAGCACTACTTCATCGGGGTTTCACTCGTTTTACGTGAAGAGGCGTAAAACTCGGTGAGAAACGCGATATTCGCGGTGATATGCATTAGTCGTGAAATATGTTTTTCACATCACGGGTGGAACTCCAGTGTGGGAGAATATGCACATGGTCAATCAGATGTGTTGGCGACAATCTGGAAATTCTGAGGAATTTTTGAGAAACTTTTCTCGGTTTTGTATAATTCCACTCGATTTCGAGGGTGAGTTTCTATAATTAGTGAGGAAACTCTTGAGCTCAGTTGAGTAAAGAGAACATATATATTCCTTCAACACTGCACCATTTTAAAACCGCAAAACAATATATAAGATACAACGTTCGAAGGAATATATATTTGCTTTCCTCAGCTGAGCTCGGGAGTGTCCTTGTGCCGTTTCAGCTGAGTGTTGTATTCATATGTTACTCTGTGTGATTGTGGTAAGATTCTTAACCTTGTCCCTTTTTGTCGCTAGTCTTTATCTCTTATAATGAGTAAGTTTTACGTCATATTGTTGCTATCCATCAGTTACCACTTACTGGTAATTGGGTTTTTGTGTTGAGCAATTTAACGTCTGATACTCAATTACTGGCACATCCTCACTAATTATACAATTATACATACAAATCCGACTAGAAGTGTACAGAAACCAATAAGAATGTTCGTATCGCCAACAACACATGAAGGCAACTGTGCATATTTTCACCCCTACATTGACGTTCAGTGAAAGGCTCAGAAGGATTAACTTCAAACATCTCGGCAACTCACACTGCTATAAACTTTCCCGTCCTCATATTCGAACTCCTCAAGTGATGACGAATTTGACCTCGCTTCTCCTCCTCCACGCACGGGCCCTCTACCCCGAATTTGCCTCCCGAATGCCGCGACAGCATCAATTGTGTAATTGTCTCCTTGAGGTTTTAGGAAAAAATTGACCTGAAAATATTTCCAATTCTCTCACCCGTTTTAAGTTAAGTGGCGTGATACTCCATGTTAAAAACGCGATATTCGCGGTATGAAGTGAATTGGAAGCACTTCGCGAAATACACAGGACAGATCGCCCCATATCGCGTAAAATACATTGAGTATTCAACACGTTATTCACTGCTCACATGTGTTTTTCGCCAAGTGAAAAATGTGAGATGTGTGTTTCACCAGTGTTTTTCATATCACAATTGAAACTCAAATCTCCTTACATTAGAGCCAAAGCCCACCAGCAGTCTCA